CAAATGATTTTCCCTGAAGAACTGGTAAAATGTAAACTATACCACAAAGATAGCATGAGAAGGTCTTACATTAAATCAGTACCTTCATTAACTTCCAGATGTCATACTTACTAGGGCACTAGTCATGAAGTCTTGGCCCTTGCTGTTTGTCTAGGAGAAGAAGGTTCAGATACAAAGGAACATAAATTTCACAGGCAGCTTGAAAGTCATATAAGTAAGAAAGAGAGTGCCAAGAAGTCAGCTGTCTGTCCGGGTTTATGGACAAAGGCAGACACATCCCTGAAGGCTAACAGGACTTTGCAGTAATGACACTACCTTCCACATCAACAGCAACCTCAAAATGAGAATTTTGTAAGGTAAATTCTGTTGGACACCTTGCATTCCTTTCAAAAGTTAATTTGCTGCTGTTGCTTATCTCAGTGACCTATCTGAATGCTTATCCAGGTTCTATTCTTGACTTTAAAAGTGGGAATTAAATGAAGTCATCTAAACAACATCTGTACATAGTGGACAAGCAAATGCTCCACTGCTGGTATTATTACATAATCAATAAGGCTAAGCTTACTTAGAGATTTTTCACAATAATACATGTGATGGCGTCTTAGTCAGTGTTCTATTGTTGTGAAGGGACACCGTGACCAAGGCAACTCTCATAGGAGAAAGCACTTAACTGGGGCTTGCTTACAGTTTTAAAGGGTTGGTCCATTATGACCACTGCAAGGAGCATGGAAGCTCACAGGCAGACACTGCAGCAACAACTGAGATCTACATCTTGACTCAGAGAGAGGGAGAAGGACAGAGACAGAGGAAGAGAGACGACAGACAGACAGAGCACCATGCTAGGCCTAGCAAGAGCTTTTGGAAATGTCCAAACCTACCCCCAGTGACACGCTTCCTCCGACAAGGCATCACATCCTATCTTTCTACAATAGCGCTACACCTTGGTGACTAAGAATTCAAATATATGAGCCTACGGTGGCCATTCTTATTCAAACCACTACAGATGACATACGTAAATTTCTCTACAACTTAACATTTTACTGATCGAGAAAATGTCCAAGGTATCAAAAATGACTCATGCTTTCTGAAAAGTTAAGCCATCTCTGCAAAATCCATAGATACCACAGCATACTGAAACTGAAAACCAACAAAAGTGATATTGCTCTCAGCCTTGAGCAGACTTATCATCAAGACCAATAAACATTTATTGCAAAAGATTATTGGGAATCTTTCCAGAAGTGTTTCTCCTAAGGATAGATATACTTACAGGAGCCATGGTTAAAAAAAAAAACAAAAACATAATTCGCATCATATTTTAGGCTGAGAAATGACCAAAGCGGGACCATCTAAGTGGTGGCACTTGTGGAACAAGCAGTTGACACTGGACAGCCATCTTATTACACCTTGAAGATATTGAAGAAATAAATCATCAAGGCTATAAAATTTGAAACATCGAGACTGAGAACAAAAGAACCCAACAGAGACTCGGAGGGTGGATTTACGGCACTGGGCACACCTGAATCACAGCATCAGAGAGAGCCTTGTGATGATGATTCCCTTGGGGTTTGTCACAGAGGATGACCAAGACAGTAGCTTTTGACTAAACATGATAGTTACAACCCTCAAATCATCATCTTATAAACAAAGAAACCCGTGGCTCATTACTGACCTAATCAGTAACATTTAAAATGCCCTTAAAATGTATTTTCTATACTCATGAAGTTTTCTCTTTCTTGGTCTGAATTCTGAAAAAGCAGTTCTTTAATGCAGCTCCTACAATGGAAGATACATAGGAAAACCCACCCTTTCAAGGGGTTATATAAATTCAGTGCCAGCAGAGACATTTGTGGATAAACTACATGAGTTACCTATTTATTAAGGAGGGAAAATAGCTAATAAAAAGATTTATTCATATTTATTATAGGCACTCCCCAACATGCCTTCTCCTGTTTCCTAATATATTATAATCAGCAGACCTATTTGGATCCCTTTTTGATATTACAATCTCCTTTATTGTTATAGTTAAATCACAAAGGCCCCTCGCCCTTGGCTTTCCTAATATGGAGCACTATCTACAAAATGAGTTACTGCAAATAAGACAAGGGCAGTTGCCATAAACCTGTCAACCTCATCTCTGGGACTTTCTTTCCAAACAGCACTAGACACTTTCTAACAATTACTTTGCATTGGAAAGAGGCAAGCCTCTATTAAACTTAGGCATTTATATGAATCTCGTGTTTCAACACGTTCACAATAATGCAAAGGCATTGGGACTATTAAGCATGGAGCTTTTAAAACTGTTTTGGGATAAAGAGCTGCTGTGTGTGCATACATTAAGCTGGAATTCAATGTTTAGTTAGCACTTAACATTGGTTGAAATTTTGGTTATAGTGCCATGCAGGTTTTTTTTTTTTTTCTACTCTACCCAGGGACATCAAATGGTCCTGGAGAAGCAAGAACTGGCTTTGAGTAAAAATGAGGCCAACCATCAAATGACCCTTCATTGTTTATATTCATCTAAAGCAGAGGCAGATGTAGTGACTGTTTTGACCCCCAAATTAGAAGCAACTCACAAGCCAACAGCCATAGAAGGATTTTAGTCTGTGTTGCCCAGGTAACTCAAAATACCATAGTAATCTCTCTTGATCTATAAAAGCAAGGCAGCATAAAATGAATATATAGAAAAAATAAGAACTATACCTAGAACATCTATTTTTGTCATAACGTATGGTGTTTTATTGTTCTTTAATTAAAGCATTAATTAAAGTGAGAAAAATGCCCTGTGATTTCCATTTATGTGCTTTGGCACATGCATACTATACCATGCACACAGCTCTCACACACACACGCACCAATAATGGTAAGAGTAATAATGATATAATAATAATAATAGTAATAATAAACAATGCTAATAACAATAGGAGCAAGGAATTTAGTGATGGTCTAGTGGGTAAAGGTGCTTGCTACCAAGCCAGACGGCCTGAGTTCAACATGCAGATTGCATACGTGTACATGGTGGCAGAAGAGAATCAACTCCACAGTTGTACCCTGATTTCTTCACGCACACCACGGCAACCATGCACCACACCCACAAAGAAGTAAGCGTGACACGGTTTTAAAAGGAGAAAAAGATTAAATGACTAGTAGCTTTGGAGACAAGTGCTTCCTGGCCAGGCAACATCGTTTAAACAATCATAGCCTGGCCGTATTTTTCCCTGACAGTAACATGAGGTGTCTTGTCTTGTTTTGGCTTGTTTTAGGTATCTTAAATAAAAATAACCACCTGAATACGGTGCAAACATTACCTGGGTATATACAGAGTGAATAAATGAATACCTGACTGGCACACACACACAAAAAGAGGTCCGTGTGTGATTTACCATTTCATCAATAAATAGTTTATATTAACTTCCTATTCAAAGAGCAGCCTGGCTTTGGCTTCAGCTGAGAGCTTGCTAGAAAAGAAAAACTGTGATTCCAACAAGGCAGAGTAATGCAAGCAGCAAATTCAAACCCTGTTGGCATTTGAACTGTGCAGTTGTATCACACACAGGTCTGGGATGCTCTTGTTGTGTATGTGAGTGTGGGAAACACAGAGAATTCTCAGAAAGTTGTGCTGTCCCTGGAAATCATTGGATAGAGAACAGCTGGATCATGTTTTCAGGGCACTTCAACCTGAACTAGTATGGTCCATGTCTCATGCTCCTCAGAACCAGTGGCTCGAAGGTCTTCCTATATTTAACATGAATGCTCATCTCGTCAGCCATAGACTGCATAAGCATGCACATGAAATGTTTACTCCAAAAAAGGATTTTGTGACAGTTTGTTTTTTATGATAGTAAGAATAATTGCTAACGTTTATTAAGTACATTTACTGTGAAAATTGTTCTTGGAGAGGTTTTGTATGCTAACTCACCTAACTCTAAATGTACTATGACATGTGTTTGTCTTTCGTTTTACAGTGTCAGTGGAATATCTCAGAACCTTTAAGACTGTTGCCTAAGGCCACACACATTCATATTCATACCCAGGATTTGTACAACAAAATTACTGTTTTTATTCCTTTGAGTATAATACTCAAATTTATGAATTAGGGAATCAGTCAAACTTCACATATATTAGTTAAGGAGAATCTTTATATACAATACATTTATCAGAAATGTGACTACTATAATATCATTGCATTAGAATAAATACGAAGTTCTGGATTAAAATTTCACAGGCAAAGAACTTACATGAAGTTTTTTGGATGCATACCATTTTATCACACTTTGAACTTCTGGAAAGTTCATTAGATCACATGACTTTGATGATTAGTCGTGTGAACTGTCTTAGTGGAATGAACAATATGTAATTTCTCCTACTATACTATGAATTCCTTGTGGAGGCAGGAACTTCTTACACATTTAGTTGTTGTTGTTGTTTTAATCCAGAATATATGGAATGGATTATGCCTTAGCTTTTCTTTAACATGTGTATGGATCAATGGGGGTTGTTTGGTGTATGATAATCCTTGTGCTATCCTTTCACAAATTTTAGAGTAAATATGTGTTCTTTGTTTTGAGGCACAGAAGATGAAGGCACTCAAGATACCCAGTTTGGTTCTTCTGTCCTCATTTGCTCCACCTTCTGTCTACTTTGATACTTCCTGTATTCCATATTCCTTGAAGCTAAAATCTATTTTGGTGAGCTTTATTTTCTATAGGTATAATGTGAGAATAATTAATTTGAACATGTTTAAACACTGGTTCACAGTGTTGAATATTCATTAAGTTATGTGCACAGCCCTAGATACTTCAAAAGGGTATGAGTTAATGATGCCTTATCCATGTGGGTCATTAAAAAGAAAAAAAGTAATTCTCGTAAGAAAATAGGACTTCAGAATAGCTAATAAAGTATTGAGTAAATGAAAATATTAATCTCAATAATGATGTAGATTGTGGTGAGGAGAAGAGGAGGGACGAGAGCACAATACGGATTTCATTAAAGAAAATTTAGGTGCTTGCTTCGGCAGCACATAGTAAAATTGGAATGATACAGAGAAGATTAGTATGGCCCCTCTGCAAGGATGACATGCAAATTCATGAAGCGTTCCATATTTTTTCCATTGCTGGTAGAAATGTAAACTTGTACAACCACTTTGGAAATCAATCTGGCACTTTCTCAGACAATTAGGAATAGTGCTACCTCAAGATCCAGCTATACCACTCCTGGGCATATATCCAAAATATGCTCAAGGACACAACAAGGACATTTGCTCAACCGTGTTTATAGCAGCTTTATTCATAATAGCTAAAACCTGGAAACAACCCAGATGCTCCTCAGTTAAAGGCTGGATACAGAAATTGTGGTATATTTACACAATGGAATACTATTCAGCTATTAAAAACAAGGATATCATGAAATTTGCAGGCAAATGGTGAGGTCTAAAAAAAAAAGATCATCCTGAGTGAAGCAGAAAGACACACATGGTATATACTCACTTATAAGTGTATATTAGACATATAATATAGGATAATCATTACAAAATCTGTACACCTAAAGAAGCTAAGCAAAAAGGAGGACCTTGGGTAGGATGCTCAATCTTCATTCAGAAAGGCAAATGGGATAGACATTGGAAGAGGGTGAAAATATGGAATAAAACAGGACCTACCACAGAGGGCCTCTGAAAGACTCTACCTCACAGGGTATTGAAGCAGATGCTGAGACTCATAATCAAACTTTGGGCAGAGTGCAGGGAATGTTATGAAAGAAGGGGGAGATAGAAAGACCTGGAGGGGACAGGAGCTCCACAAGGAAAGAAAACAAAATCTGGGCACAGGGGTCTTTTCTGAGACTGATATTCCAACCAAGGACCATGCATGGAGATAACCTAGAACCCCTGCTCAGATATAGACCATGGCAGCTCAGTGTCCAAGTGGGTTTCCTAGTAAGGGGAACAGGGACTGTCTCTGACATGAACTCAGTGGCAGGCTCTTTGACCATCCCCCCCGAGGGGGAGCAGCCTGATGTGAGCAGTTGGTGATACCACCTGGGACCGTGGTGGAGTCCTGGTCTGTGGCCCACCAGGGGTCACATCTGGGTATGTAGCCATGAAGCAGCAGGGGTTTGTTACCACAAAAGGCCAGACAGACTTCCCTGGTCTGGGCTGACACCTGGGACATGTTGGTGTCTGAGGACTGCGCATAACAAGCTCCATCCCCTCAAATGGGCATCATGGGAAAGCTGGCCCTAGGGGCATGAGAGCTGAAGAGCTGACCCTGCCGCAGGCCAGCTGCAGTGCTCAGGAGAGTGGCTCTGCACATTGTAGGAGTTTCAGGTGAGCAAGTCCTGAGTATGTGATTTCAGAAGAGCTAACCAAACCACTGCCTTCCATGTGGTGGCAAGGATGAGGAAGATATACCTCTCGCCTCTCACCACCTGTGGCAGGCAGGACACTGGACCTGGTATCACTAGAGTAGGAGAGCTGACCCTGCCCCTCACCAGCTGCAGCACTCAGATGAGTAGGCCCTGCACCTCTCCTGCGCAGCACAGTTGAGCAGACCCTGGTGGCAGGGTATGAACATAGGAGAGCTGGCCCACCCTCACCCCTTGCCACCTATGTCAGGTGGAATAGCTGGCCCCAAAGTCGTCAGAGCATGAGAGCTATCCCTGCTTCAGCACTTGAGAGAGCAGGCCCTGAACCTTGCCTGGGCTGGTCCTAAGGGTGTGAGAGTGGGAGAGCTGGCAGGCTGACCAGTTCAGATACCTCTCAGGCACAGACCCAGAGTTTTGTATTGGACCACCCCAACATTTAACCCCATCGATGAACTGATGGGTTGCATGAAAGGGCTACTCCCAGAGATACAAAACTACAGGATCTACATGACACAGGCCAACATCCAAGAGGATGTCCTGGTGAGGATTCAGTATTGATAGTGTAGCAGAAGCCAGAGGCCTTGTACCAGACTAATGAGTAGTTGCAATGAACTTTTACAAGCAAAGAAGTGTAGAAAAAAAAGGGTATACTGTGAGACAACATTACAGCTTCCACAACAAGACTTTTTTTTTCCCCTCGGTTCCAAGATGGTGGTGACCAGTGTGTACTATATCTAAGGGGCAGAAGATCGAAGACTAAAATTGGTGAGTAAACAGGTGCTGGATCCAAAACACCAACTTCGGTGCCTCCTGGCCTGGAGGGGACACCCCAAGAGTTGGGGATGATCAGATCCAGGCCCCCCGTGGCCATCTCCCAGGTCCAGGAGTCATGAACATGAGCCCACTGTCCTTTCCACATACTCAAGAAGTGCAGGACCCCAGTTGCAGGGACTCTCTGCTCCAGTAGTCAGACATTGCATCCTCACCCAACCCCGACAGAGTGCAGCATCTGGATTCCTGGGACAGCATCCCAACCTCCAAACCACGGTTCTACCGGTCCACCTGTGGAGCCCAGGTGGACAGCAAAATCATATGGAATCCCAGATCTAATACAGTAGAGCCCAGATGAATCTGACTCTCAGGAGCACAGTGTCTGTTAGGCCTGTAAGCCAGAGCCCAGCTTCCTTCTGAGACACCGGATTCACTGAAGCTGCTACCTGAGGCAGACATCTCTCTCACCAACACCTGCCATCTGAGATGCCAGCATCCTGCCCTCCCAGGCATCCACAACAGTGCACCAGCCCTTCAAGGTACTTGCGCCTGCACCTATGCCCTTCAAGGCACCCGGACCTATACTCGGCCTTCCAAAACACACATATGTGGCTGCATCCAAATGCCAGCACCCATTTGTGTTGCCCTGAACCTCTCTAGTCATCCTAAAGACTACTCAAGACTTTGTTCTGACTCCAGAGATGGGCAGAGTCAGTCTTCAGTGCAGATTCCAAGAACAAACAACGAAGGCTATAGACAACCAGATGGCTAAAGGCCAGCGTAAAAATTCAATCAACAAAAACCAGGACATTATGGCTCCACCACAACCTCATATATATATTAGGTTCTAATATATATATATATTAGAATATATATATATATTCTAATGTAACTGAAACACAGGGAAAATGACCTTAAATCTATTATTAGGCAGTTATTAAAGGCCTTTAAAGAGAAAACAAACAAATCTCAAAGAAACACAGGAAAATACAAGCAAACAATAGAGACCATCATGGACAGACAGGAAACCACAATAAAGCAGGTGAAGGAAATAAATAAAACTGTTTAAGACCTGAAAATGGAATTATAGTCAAAGAAAAAACACAAATTGAGAAAACCCTGGAGATGGAAAACTTAGAGAAGAGATCAGGAACCACAGAGGTTAAGCATCACCAACAGAATACAAGAGATGGAGGAGAGAATCTCAAGCATTAAAGATATATTTGAAGAAGTCAATACATCCCTCAAGGAAAATATTAAAATGGAAAAATTCCTGAAACAAAACATCCAAGAAATCAAGGACACCTTGAGAAGACAAAAACCTAAGAATAATAGGAATAGATGAAAAAGAAGATTCCAAGCTTCAAGGTCCAGAAAATATTTTCAAGAAAATCATAGAAGAAAATTTCCCCAACCCAAAGAAAGAGATGCCCTTAAATATACAAAAGGCTTACAGAACACCAAATAGACTAGGCCAGAAGAGAAATTCCTCCTGCCACAGAATAACCAAAACACTAAATCTACAGAAGAGAATATATTAAAATCGGCAAAGGAAAAAGACCAAGTAACATATAGAGGTAGACCTATCAGAATCACAGCTGACTTCTCGAAAGAGATTACGAAAGCCAGAAAGACCTGGGCAGATGTTATGCAGACACTAAGATACCACAGATGCCAACCAAGTCTACTATCCCCAGCAAAACTTCCAATCACCATTGATGAAGAAAACACGATATTCCATGAAAAAAATTAAACCCTATCTATGCACCAACACAGCCCTACAGAAGATCCTAGAAGGAAAATCCCAACCCAACGAGGTAAACCACACCCAAGAAAACAGGATATAGATAACTTCAAAACAGCAAAACCAAAACCAAACAAACAAAAAAACAATCACACAAACACAGTATCACTACCACCTCCACAATAAAAGGAACTAGCAATCGTTGGTCACTAAAAGCTATCAGCATCAATGGACTCAATCTGAGTTGACAGTTTACAATATCAACAAATAATAAAGTCTAAAGCACCTTTGTTCAAAATTAAGGCCTACCTACAATCTTTCATTCTGTTATTAAACAGACAAAATAGGCATGTTAAGTCAAAAAGTCATGCATGGCTCATGAATATGAAGAAATGAATATATGTTTGCTAGGTACCCACAGAGCTGGAAGTTGGTATTACTAGAAATCATTGGATGCAAGCTGCTTATTACAGAATTATAATCCTCATAATGAAAAGCATGATCTGATACCAACCCCTCATTTCACAGATATCCAGAGGCTTTGAGAGATATAGTAAGGAATCACAACCTTTGTGATGGCAACAGTGGAAGCAGAGATCATAGCCTCCACATCAATCGATAAAGTCTGATAAGTAGGTGATGCCCTCATCAAGGAATCACAAATTCAGAACAGAAATAAGCATAATATAATCAGATTTGTGGGATGTAAGCATGTAGACAAAGACAATTGTGGCACACCCCTTTCCCCCTCTGCCCCCCCATCTCCAGAAGTATCAATACACCATGAGGCTATAACTGCATACATGAGAACCTAATAAAATATTTTAAGCATTGCTTCTCAGTTAGAATGGTGCAAAGCTTTGTCAGGAGAGAGGTAAGTGCATTTGTTTCTGGTGACTAGCTTAATCCCACGACTCACTAGCTCTAAATAATGTGTATTTTAGAGGTGACAAATACCTCTTTACATCCCATTACTGAACAGTAAATTTCCATGGGAATAACATAGGGATTGAGTAAAGAGATGGGGCATCAGAAAGAACACAGTATATGGTTCAGAAGTCGGCAAGACCGCCAGAAAACACAGATGTACTGTGAATTTCTGTAGCAATTTTCATTTGTGGTCATGTTACATTTTCATACAGAGATGACTTTTACAACTAAGTTCTGAAAAAACAATGGATCTTCTACAGACAATTTCAAAATTCATATCAGGTATAAATTCTCATTTTCA